TCAGAACTGTGAAGATACTGGGGAGGATTTTTCCAGGCAAAGGAATTAGCTACTGAAAGAGGCTGTATGCAGGAATTAGCTTATGGTGTTTGGGGAAGAGATAGATCATTTCTGTGTAGCGGAAACACTATTATGAAAGGGAAACACCATTATGGAGGGCTTGGGAGGTACCCTGAGGCCAGTCATGTGCAACCATTATTATTATTATTATTATTTATTACTATTTGTGCCAGGGACCGAACTCAGGACCCTGTGCTTGTGAGGCAGGCGCCGTGCCATTGAGCTAAATCCCCAGCCCATATGCGGCCATTTTGATAGTGACTGGTAGTGGGAATGCTCAATTCAAGGCACTAAAATGTGTACACACGCACAATGGAATATCACTCAGCTATAAAAAATAATGAAATCTTATTGCTACAGCAGGGGTGGAACTGCAGATTATTATTTAAAGTGAAATAAGAGACAGAGAAAGACAGATACTACATGACGTCACTCATGTGGAGTCCAGAAAACTTAATCTCATAGATGTTAGAGAAGAATGGTGATTAGCCAAGCCTGGGGAGGTTAGTGGAGAGAGGAGGGGAAGAGCTTGGCGGACGAATACAATGTTAAAGTTAGCTAGGAATAAGACACAACAGCACACCAGGATGACTATAGAGATCAATAATTTAGGGTGTATAAAAAACACCTAGAAGAAAGTGTTCTGAATATTTTCATCACAGATAGACGGTAGTTGATTAAGATGGTGGATAGGCTGATTTGACCATGTGTACATGAACCAAGATATCATAATTATATAATGTACAATTATTGTGTGTCAACAAAAAGCAGTGACTGAAAACTCAAGGTAGGGTTGTTCAAGGCGGTGCTATTGTATTACCAAAAATATTGGGGTTTGAAGTTCATGAGGTCTGGGAGACCAGACCCCACACCTGCATGAAAACAAAGAAAATATTATGGTAGCATGGAGTAAGGTGTTGCTAGTGGGAATGAAGAAAATTGAACAGATTTGGAATATAGTTTAAAAATAGAGCTGATGAGAGTTTACCTATTAATGGATGTGGGAAGAGGGAAAGATCAGAATCAAATGTGTATACCTGGGTGCATCTGTTGTTTACTGCCATGGAATAGCTTTGAGGAAGAGCAAGTTGGGGTTTGTGTAAAATAGAAACTAATGCCTTTATTTGGGATGCGTTGGTTTTGCATGACCTGTGGGCATCAAAGTGCAGATATCTATTAGGTCATTGGATTTCAGATTTTAGGTTAGAGATCAAAGCTGCAAATAAGCATTGAGGGGTCAACATGACACAAATGCTGTAAGGGTCCGTGGGGTAAGATAACCTCATCAGTGGAGACGAAACAGCTACAGGTAAATTGGGGCCTGGAGATAGAGCCCTGGGTGGAGTCCAGTGTTTGAAGGAGACTATGAGGAACATTGGCTAAGTGTGCGGTACCCTCAAAGATAAGAAAATGTGTTTAAAATAGAGTTGTTCAATGAAGAAACACAGACTATTCAAATTTAAGAATAACAGCTAAGAAATTTAACGTACTGTTTTAACATTCCCAAGATTTCACTTACTAGCAATCAAACATAAAATTAAAGCACATGCGTGTGTGTGTGTGTGCTTGTGTGTGTGTGTGGTGTGTGTGTATTGTCAAAGAAAGCAATCCTTGCTATCCGAATAGTTCTCCAAATGATCTTTATCATGCTGCCCAGAGTTTAATTTGCCTCCTGATAATGGGTCTGAAGAGAGACCTAAGTGAGGAGATATGTTTCTTGAGCTGACAGAATTAGATCAAGGGCAAGATCTTTTTCAAGTGACACTCCTCTACTCTCCACTCCTTTCTGAGTCATCTGCATTTGATGCAAACCTGAATTGGCCACCTGATAAATGATGCTATCTGATTACCCGGGCCAGCGATGTTCTGTTAATTTAAGTCCCCCAGGTGACCGCCCCCAGTGAATGCCAGATGGCAGCTTCACCAGCTGTCAGGTACCACAGAGGTCTTCACGGGATCTGCCTGGCTATAATCCACTGGAAGTACAGTCAAGATCACAGAAATCTCCTGCTACAACACACCTTGGAATAAGAATGCTCTGTCTTTCCGGAAGTGGGATTTATTACAATAGGTGTGTTTGTGTCAAAGCACAGTTCTTTCGGTGGGCACATAAGCTGTGATTTAACAATTTGTGGTTTCCTCATACCTGCCCAAAGTAAATATTATTACTTTCCTTGACCAATATATGGGGCAAAGTTACGTTCCAATGGAAAGATAGCAAATCAGCGTGCATCTGACTGCCGGACAACCATCTTTAGAGTAATGTTCACTTGCTTGGAGTACACCAGATTTCCTCGTCTAAATATATTTAGGAGAGTATTACCCTGTGGCTACCTTATGTTTTGAAGCTCCAGTGCTTGAAGACTAAATAAAGAAAAATTTCTAGGAAAGCAGTGGCCTGCCTGGCAGACCTGTGGACTTGCTGGAAAGGAAGACTGTTGCCAGTCTTGAGTCTTAGGTGCACACAGTATCTTGACCCCTAATACGGAAAGCAAGAGCAGAGCCCCAAGTCTGATAGCCCACCCAGTGCTGGGTCAGTGAGGAAATAGCCGGCACCATCACTGAACAGTTCCTGAAGATTTTCCCTAATTCCTTTCATTTCAACAGGGCTTGACTCCAATATGACTTTCAGTATGCTCATCTTTTCCTAGAATCGTCTAGCCCATCTTCATGTGGTTCTTCCTTGTCCTTCTCTGCATAGTCACTTAACATCTCTTACTATGCTGAGTCATAGTCTTCCTCGTCCTCCTCCTCGTTATTTTCTTCCTCCTTCCTTTCTTCTTTTCCCTCCTCTTTTGCTTCTTCTTCCCATTCATTTCCTTCTTTGCCTTCTGTCCTTTCTCCTATTGATGTGTGGTGGAGAATGTCCATAAGAGATCTAATTAGGGTGGGCATATAAGTTTTAGACACAGAAGTGTATGTATACATTGGGTTTCTTATCGGGGGCTGCCGACCACCTGACTGAGGGTATGGAGGAGGATAAAAGCATAATACACAAAGACATTGAACAAAGGATTGTTTTTATGGGGGTCCAGGATGGCCTAAGCTCTTGTCCAGCTAAGACCACAAGGCCAGGACTTGTCAGTATTTGTTGATTACACAACATAGCAGGGGGCATAAAGGCAGATGTATGGAACAGTGGGACTAAGGAACTAAGGAAAGGCAGGCCTGTAAGAGGGAGGAACTAGGCATTCCTGTGGAGGACAGGTAGTAGTTAACGAGCCAGCTGTGTTATCTTTAGCTAACGTTTGATCTGGGAGAGCAGCTGCAGACGAGTCCATAAATCCTCAGCTGCAGTGTCAGCTTGCTATCAGAGACATCACAGCATCATCGATCGCTGAGATCTCAATTGTGGCCATTGGCATAGGAAACTCTGTTTTCATACGTCAGCCAAAGGCTCATCTAGAAAATCACATAGGCCTAGGATAGACTTACAAATTAATCACTAGCCAAACTATAAGCCAATTCAATAGTATTTCATAGCCAGCCCAGCACAGTTTCAAGCTGGTCTCCTTATATCAATAAGAGAAACTATGCAATATTTAAACCTCACAGCTGATTTATTTCACTTAACATCATGGCCTCAAGGTGCATCCATTTTCCTACAAATAACTCATTTATCCTTGTGACAGAGGAATACTCCATTGTGTGTAAACACCACATTTTCCTTATCCATTTATCAGCTGATGGACTTACAGGCTGCTTTCAGGATTTAGCTATTGTGAATTATACTGGTATAAACCTCGATAAGTATGTACAACTATAATGTGATGTCTTTAACTCTTTGGGGATGGACTTTATATTTTTAGTTTTTGAGGAATATCCAAACTGATTTCCATAGTGGTAGTTAACATTTCTACCAACATATAGAAGGGTTTGTTTTCCCCACAGCCTCGCCAGCATTTCTTTGATTTCTGGGTGATGGCTATTCTAGCTAGATGAAGGCATTCTAGAATCTCAGTGTTGTTTTAATTTGCATTTCTCTGATAGTCTTCAATATTGAACATTTCTGCATGTACTTATTGACCATTTGTACTTCTCTGAAGTATCTATTCATTTCACTTGCCCAAATTATGGATAAAGAGCAAAATAAAAGATAGACAATAGGAAATAGGGAGACAGATCTTCCTCCAATGGGAAGGGGATCAAGAGAGGGAGGGAGGGAGGGAAGGGGATGCAAAGGAATGAGGATGTGTTATGTACATGCACCAGCTCCACACGAGGAATGGGAACGTCATATACTGCAGACATGGTCTAATAAAAAATGTAAAAAAGTGTATATCCATATGCATTTATAAATAAGCATACATGCCTTTCAACAATTAATCAATACTATCTAGGTAGTAATGTATCCTGTATTTGTTGAGTAATATCATCTTTCTGAGCCTTTACCCATGAACTCTAATGTATCGAGGATGTGATTTGTAATATCTGCATAATATTCCATTTAGGCAGGTTTCATGATTCACAGGCCTCTTTCTCTACATATGTGTTGTGATTTGTGTTTAGAGGTCCCCCTAAAACCACAGGCAGATGTGGTGGGGCTTTCTTTTCTGGAGGTGGCTGAATCTGGAATGTGTGATGCTGGGGTTAAGGCCCTGTGATTCCTAAACCACTACATGTGGGTGTGGTTTGGCACTGCCCTAATCATCCAGGTACTCTAAATGGGATAAAAGAGGCACAAAGATGCTGTTAACGTCTCTTGTTTTTGCTACTTTGTGTGTGCCATGGGGTGTTTCTCCTCTGTGATGCCCCCCTGCCATGTGCCACCCTGCCTTGGAGCCAGCCGATTATGGACTGAAACCTCTACAAACTGTGACTTAAGTAAACCCTTTCCCCTTGAACTTTGGGTTTCAAGTATTTGTCTCAGCAAGGCGAGAACAGTAACACAATGTGGTACTTTGATACTTTTCATTTTCCAAAATTAAAACAATCCTGTATTTAAATTGCTTGTGCCTGTGACCAGTGTCCTAGTGTACCAGAGCTCCTGCCTTGCTTGTAATCTTGAAAAAAGGATTCCTGCTTCCACATAGCAAAAACGATAGTCATCTTGATACCAGCGACTCAGAGAAATTAAGAAATAGAATCACTTCCAACTGTCTATGAGGAAGCAGATGCTCAGAAAACCATAAACTGCGAATATTACTTGTGTCATCACAATCCAGGTTGAATGAGTCAAGACTGGTGCCCAAGTCACATAGATTCTGTCATCTAATTTCAGTCCAAATGTGTGTTTTCAACAGGTCTTCGGGGTCAGTTTTAAGCAGTGTTTATCCTGGGAGAATGATTCAGAACTCTCATCATTTCAATTCATGGTGGCAATGAGGATGGGAGTCATCTGCAGTCAGAAAGAAGAGTCAGCGAGCAGGTGAGAAGCTAGGAAGCAAACTTAGGGGTGAGGAGATGAGACATTGCAATTTGGTGACCTCTTCAGTGTGTTGTTTGAGTCCATTTCTGAGTCAGTGCTGATCTGCATGACCCTCTAGAGGCTCCTCTGAATTCATTAAGTGAGTTCAACCTCTACTTCTCCTTGCTGACCAGCGAGAATGTAGTTTGTGCATTTATTTATATTTTCACTTCTGTATCCTCTTTCTGCTCCAATATAATGGGGTATAGATCCATAGGATGCTGTATTACATGAACGGTATCCCTGTTTGCTTTATCATTTAGAGGGAATGTGCTGTCTACTCAGGGATGCCCAGGAATGGGTTTGGAAGTTATGCCACCGTAGGTCTTAGAATTATGTCCTCAACCTGATGGAGAAAAGGCCTTCTGGACATGCACAAACAAACTCGAGACTCTCAAGGGGACGGGGCCTAGACAGCTCCAATAAATGACAGTTTTGCTCATTCACATGATGTTTGCATCCATTTGCTGACCACCCAAAGATTGTAAGGCAACTCTTAAATGAAGACAAAGCGCAGGTTTAAACATAAAGAGTGAGAAAGGACAGAATGCATCAGGTGGTCCTGAAACACTCGGTTCCCTGTGGACTCACACTGAGTCATTTAAGAGGTTGGGTTGTAAATTTGGGTGGAGATTTGTTCATAGCTAGCCTGGAGAGAGATTCACTGGTCCCATGCTTTCTTCTGCTGATAAGACAACACATACACATTTATTCCTGGGGGTGAATCTCTCCCTCTCTATCACTGCCACTCCTCAAGCTAAAGTGTAAGGGATTTTTAATTGTGTGGGCTTGTGTGAGTGACAGGATGTGCCATACTCAACCATTATTTGCAAAACAACAACACCACTTGAAGAGGCATCTGTGTAATACACTCTCTGGAGAAAATGGGATGTCATGTCAAACTGCTTCTCCACCTACACATTCTTCAGGACCTAGGAAGGACCTACCTGTAACATTCTGGTAGAGGTGGCTGGATCCAAAAATACTGTACAGCTTTTTTTTCCTCAAACATCAACGATCTGGTGAAGCATTGTGTCTTTTTGCGGGGTGTCTGCACATTTCTCTTTATCCAACAATAACATTTCCTGTGGAACAGTAGACTTTGATCTTGGTGCACCATTAGAGCTTTCTGTATCAGGTAGTTGAGGAAGACATTTCTCTGGGGAGAAAGGGGAATGACAGAGGAAATTGTAAATACTCTGTTTTTATATCCCCTGCTGAACAGCACCCAAGGAAGCTGGATGGGTGGCTCATTCATGACAATGTTATAAGACAGCAGAACAATTTTTCTTCCTGTGAGGATGTTCCCTGTCAGTACCATAGGACTGATGACACTCTCCAAAGCACTTCTATCTCTGAATGCAGAACATAATTAGGACATCCTTGTCACCACCACCACCACCATCACCATCACCATCATCATCATCATCATCATCATCATCATCATCACTAAAATAAGTTTCCGGCCCCATCACAGCACCGCCATACATTTTAGTTAGTCCATTTTGATAAACTGTAAATGACTCATCCCTTACGCTCCATTGCAGCATGGCCACGGGACCCTCCACAGTATTAGCTCCAATAGCAATGATGGCAATGTCCTTATGCGAAGCACATCTGATTCTCCATAAGGAATCAAACTCCGTAAATGTCAGTAAACACCTTTCTGGGAACAATGGATTAAAAACAAAAAGAAGGCCAAATTGCTGTGAATCTATGCCCCAAACTAGTCAATTGGAAATCTTTTTATGATAGCGTATTGCACAAAATATAGTGCTGTAGAGTCTGGATGTGGGAATCACAAATTGGACATAAAAGTAAAGACTTGAGTCCTTCCAGGAAGTGAGATGATAAAGTACTATCTAATGACCCTGAGTTAAAAGAGGGGGGGGGCGTAGGAAAAACTACAATTTACATTACTATTCAGCCATCCCTCTGGAATGGAGTAGAAAATATACTCTACAACACACAGACAGAGAGGGAGTAGAGGCAAAGTCAACACTACCAAATGGACCGTTCACATATGACAAGGCACAATGAACTATGTTCTGAGAAGTGCACTATCTTCCTTTGGCCATGGGATTATTACATATGAATTTTCCATTCCATTCCATTTATAAACATCATTTTAAAATTATAAACAGGGATACAATTTTAAGATAGCAAGATATGCAAGTGGGCAGAAGTTCTTCCTTTAAATAAAACCCTTGGGTTCATCCCATTCAATAGTGATGTTTTAGATTTATGGTCTTCTATGAGCAACCCTTTTGTTATTCTGGGGGAAGACCATACCAGTTGGGATTGTTAGATCTGACTTTGGAAATAATCTAGGACAGAGTATTAGAAAATGTTCCCTTATTATTATGTTTTTACTTTATACTTTTTCAAGATGAACATTTCTCTCCAAAATTGACTCTCATTCTGCACCTTGTTCAACACTGAATTTTCATCTGTCTCTGACATTATAAATCTGGTGACTTCAGGCCATATCACATATGGATCAGATGGCTTCTGGCCAGATCCACCTGTAGCACTTGGGGGTGATTATGACTGATCTCTTATGTCTTCCTCCTTTTCTCCCAGTGCTGTGTATACAGCCACTCCAATCCACCTTCCCTTCGCAGCCAGAGGGTCCTGGAGAGCTATAAATCAGGTCATTTCATTGGACTGCTGCCATCCTCACCAGATAAACTCATCTTTTCTCCTTGTCTCTTTCCTCCATAAAGTGATCCCTCTCAACCCATCTGATGTTTATTTTCTCTGATTTTCTTACCCTGTTCATCACCCACCAAACAACTAGACCTTTTGGGACCTCAGAAACTCTCTCAGCACCTAGGCCCTGTGGGAAGTAGACTCTGAATATTTCTCTTTCATGCTTGCTTCTTTCTGAGCTCACCCAATATCCTCCTGTCCTTCATTACCATCATCATTTTCTTCATCCTCACCAATTTTAATCAATATTATTTGATTTTAGTTTTATGCATTATCTGTCTGACACCCATTCAAATGTCAGCTCTGGGAGACAAGAACCCTTGTGACTTTTGGTCACTAGCTTCTGTCTAGCGCCCAAAACTGCTTAGCAACCAGTCTCTAAACATTTTTGTTGAATGAATCCATGCATTGGTACCTTTGGGAAGCTGGACACCAGAAAGGCAGGTGAGCTCCATGCTCTGAGGCCCAGAGTAGCTCCTGTGCTGCCTGCCCCTTCCTGGCATGGCCTCTTCTGTGATGTCACAGGCTATTGTGCTGTCATAGCGACCAGCAGCCCACTCCTAGGTCCACGCCCTGGCCCCAGCTCATTTTCTAGTTGTCCTGTGAGCCCTCAAGAGGGAACACTAACATTTGCCCACTTGCTTTGACCTTGGGAGCAACAAGCAGTTGGCATATTCTTGACCCTCTTCTCCGCGAAGCAATGGCTGCCACCACGCTAATGAAGTGCCTGCAGGAGAGTGACGCTGAGCGCGATACCCTCCCTCCTTGGGAACGTGTCCCTGACTGCCCTGCTGAGTGTGGATCTGAGGACATTGTGGCAGCTGGGAGCACCTGCCTGCTTCCTTTTCACTGTTGCCAGGAGAAGGCGGTCCTGGACTTGTACGTGAGTGTGGTATGACTGTGAGTGTGGGAGTGTACATGACTTGCTGTGTGGCTGTGTGTATGACTGTGTATGTGTGTGCATGAGCGTGGGAGTGTAAATTTGTATGATTCTGTGTGTGACTCAGTACACATATGATTCGGTAGATGTGTGTGTGTTTCGATGAATATGTATGTGCATGTGTAGGGTTGTATGAATGTGGGTGTGTATGAGTGTGTGAGTGTGTATGACTTGTGTGAGAGTATATGACTGATTATGTATGACTGTGAGTGTGAATTTATGACTGTAGTGTGTGAGTGTGTGTAAACTTGGATGATGACATATGACTCTGTGTGTGTATGATTCAATGTGTGTGTGTGACTGTGTATGCATGCATGACACCATGTGTGTGTATGATTCTGTGTATGGTTATGAGTGTACTGTATATGACTCTTGTGTATGTGAGTGTGTATGAGTATGTGTGAGTGTGTATGACTGTGAATGTGTATGAATCTGAATGTGTGTATAGCATTGTGTGTGGGTGTGTATGACTGAGTGTGGATGTGTATAGAATTGTTGGTGTGTATGACTGTAGATGTGTGTGTGAGTGTGTATGACTCTATGTGCGTATGTGTATGACTGGGTGTCACCTAATTCTCATAGCACTTTATCATTTCAGTATTTTTCTAATTTATTGGTGTTTATAGATGAGACAGCTGAAGAAAAGATAGAAACATTTTCAATGCTTCCTGTTGATTTCTCAGATGTGCATGGAAATGTGCTTTTTGGACACATTTTACAGTAGACACTTTAGGATAAATCTTTTGTCCTGCCATGGTTGTAGAAAGAGGAAGGGCCTTTGCTATGGAGGGAAAACATAACTGACCTTAACCTAGTTGTCATAAGGGGCAATTTGGTCCCTTTCTGGGATAGCTCTCCCAGCCCCATTTTGTCTTTCTCATCTTGTTTTCTTGCAGTGCTGGGCACTGAATCCAAGCCTCACCTTTGCTACATGAGCACTCCACCACTGAGCCACATCCTCAGCCCCTCTCTCTGCCTTTCTGATGCCCAGTTCTATTATGAGATGAGACTAGCACCTGTCCTGCAGACCATCAGGGGAATTAAATGAAGAAATGTATGTGAAAAGACGTTTTAGAGTCTGAGGACTACATTCACAGGGGCTATTTAAAGTCTTTCTTCAATGGGGAATTGTCTGGACCCTTGATGGCCCTGCTACATAATTCACTGGCACAGGTTTGCCAATGAGCGCATCATCTGCACTTCACGCCGTCTGTAGTGAGTTTCATTGAGAAGCTACCTGATGTGCTATTTATTTTAGATTATAAAAATTACACAGCTTGTTGCACAGTTCTCTGATCATCGCTAAGGATACCTCCCTGCCCTGCACAGAGTGGAACCTTTTATTTCCACTCCAGCCCCTTTAGATCATGATAACAGCCTCTGTAAACTCTCCCTGCATATATTAGTGAGCACTTAGAAAATATCCAATTTAGCCGCTCGAGGCAAGCTCCTCTCTGGTTCCTTTCAAGCACCTGTGCTCTATGCTACGCCTCCTCGGTTCCCTGGCTTCTTTTCAGTCTGTCTGACCCACCAATCCTCCGTACTTATTTTACATTTTCACTGCCTGTTCACATCCTTCCAAGACCTATCTTTCATCTCTCTCAATACCCCTTCAGCTCTGTTTGATGGTTCTTTCTCTTGTCTCAGTAACTGGGGACCTCCTTGCAGACTTTGACCTGGGGCTCACTTATCCATCTATTCCTGAGCCTCTTGCTGAAGATTTAATTAATTTTTGTGATGTACAATCATGGTAGAGACATCCTGGCACAATTATGCAAGGGGAACTTCATAGCATCCCTATCACCTCTTGGATACCTCTTGTTGTTGCCCAGTCACGTACTTCTGTGATGCCCTTATAAAGTTCAAGGTGTCTCAGGGCCTCCTTCTAGTACTACATCGAGGATTTTCTAATTGAATCCTGCCATCAAATCTTAGCAGTCTTCAGTTGCCTGTATTGTCAGGGAGTAAAAACAAAACAAATGTAAATCAAGGTTTTGTGCCACCGGCATCTTGGCCAAGCTCTTTGTTGCCTACATGTATAGTGGGTAAATTTCAAAGAGAAGGAAGAAGAGGGAGAAGGAGATGGACAGGGTAAAAGCCACGTGGGAGACCCCAAGGGCCTTGAGAACATCAACTCACATTGCAGTGTTGATACTAACTCACTTAAAGCTTGCTTGATGTTTTATAAACAGAGTAGACTTTTCTTGTGCAGCAGAGAATTCAAAGGCTTATAGAGAATAAGAGCTCCTTCAAGAGGCTTTGTCCAATCCATTCTTTCATTAAAGGGAGTACCCTCCTTTAGTTGTGTTTTTAAGTTCAAAGGAATGTAATAAACTTATTTTCTTTCCTTTTCCATGCACCACGAACTATCCATCCATCCATCCATCCACCCATCCACCAACCCATCCACCCATCCATCCATCTGTCCATCCAGCCAGCCAGCCAGCCACCCATCCACCCAGCCACCCATCCACCCATCCATCCACCCATCCACCAATCCATCCATCCATCCATCCATCCCTCCATCCATCCGTCTATCCATCAACCCTACCATTCAATATATTTGCTCATCCTCATTAATTTAGCCAATAATTATTAATCAGATACTTTTTAATGCCAGATACTGTGCTACACTACAAAAGCAGACTCATACTTGCCCTCCTAGTGTCATCTAGCAGGAGAGAAAGGCATTAAATTCAGAGGTCATGATAAACTAGGAGGAATTCACACAGAATCTGACTGTATAACACTATATAACCTCAACTGCCTTCCTCAACTCCCTCCTATGCCTAAAACACACAGTTTTATGTAACAGTCTCTTGCTCTTCTATCCAGTATTGTTCTTCATTGCTAAGGAGCATCCCGTGTAAAGGGAAGTTGTGGGTAGAGGGCAGGATACTCAAGTAACTTGCATGTTACCCTGTCAAAGTGGTGTCCAGCTGAGGAGATTTCAAATCATCATCAACCCCCTGCTTTCACCTGAATCCACATGACAAGCCAATCCTGCCCCCACCCGGCCTAATCTAGCAAGTCTGTCAGGTGTCAGCCACACGTGAGACTCGAGGCTTGGACCCCTAGTAGCCTTCAATCTCCAGCACTGCATTTAGCACTAAGCTTGGTTTTCTACTGCCATCCGGACATGGGTGCTAAAAATCTCAAACTGAGTGTTTCACACTTTAACTGCCTCCTGCCTCCAGGTGCCTTAGACTACGGCACCTTGCTCTTGTGAGCAACCCCCCAAGCCCCAAGCTACCCTCAGTTTCGTCTTCTCTCGTTCTTTCTTCACAAAGCGACTTGAGAATCCCTCATCTGCTCTTCATGTAGATTCTTGAAACTCCAAAGTTGCTTTTTCATTTTCATTGCAATGAATCAGTGATGAAAGCTTATTTCATTAGTTTACTCAGTGTCTTCCTCCGGAGGGAAAGGCAGGTAATGAAAATCAGGTTTGGACCAGTACCTTATTTGTCCTTCTCTGCTCCGAGGTATCATGCTTTTATTTGATTTATGATGAACCACAGACTATACACATAGATAAATGGTTTGAAGAAATTAATTCTCTTGTTGGTACAATATTATTTTATTAAGTTTTATTGGATTTTGAACATTGTACAGTTTACCAAAGGAATATTAGGCTCTCCCTAGTGGATATTTGCTATGCAATAAGTGAGTAAAATTTTAAGATAATGGGAAAGTTTTAAATTCTTAGGCTGCAATGCACTGACTGTTCATTGATTCAAGTGGAAGTTTTTAAACAAATTATCAGCCAGGCAGTCTTGTTCACTAAAACACCACAATCCAGCCTAAAATCCTAGTTTTAAATATTAAAAGAAAAAGTAAGCACTAGTATAAGTTAATTTAAACTTTTATATTCCATAGAAATATTGGCTATAGTTTCCCGGAGGAGCTGCTTATATATTTGAAGAAATATACATATATGATTTTAGGTTATATACACATACATACATACATGCGTGTATATACGTACATGTATGAATACACGTATATATATGCATGTAGGTATATATGATTTTAATTCTACACATGATTTTAAGTTATATATACACCTATGTTTACATGCATAAGTATATGTAGATAGATATGTTTGCATCCATGTGTACACATAAATGTATATTTCTCCATACACATACCCATAAGCTTGGAGGAATTTGAACCATGTATCCAAGTACTATTTACAGAATGGTATGCGACATATATTTAAATACAATGTTACTACAAAGTGTTAAGTGTTCCTTAAATGTCTATTAATTGTATTAATCCTCAAAGTGTGTAGTAGAATGAATTAATAAAAATGTGGCCAGATTCCTTACTCAAGGGCATCAAATGTGTTTGTAAGAAGAAACCATGATGTAAATCAGGAGAAGTCACAAAAATGCTTAGTGGAATTATGTGAATGAATACAATGGTATCTCAGCTCAGGAACTTAATTCGTTCCACAATTCTAGAAAATATGGCCATGTTCATGTTGGTGTGGGAAAGGGGGCCAAGGGTGTGTCTACACTGTGTCACCCAGTGTAGAGTTTGCGAAGAAAAATACAATTTTGCCAAATGCTTCTGGTCACAAACAAAAAGCACTGATGAACCGAGATACCGATGTACCATGAATCATTTCAGGCTTGAAACTTTTAACGGAAGTCTTGAGCAGGAAGTAGTTTCATTTTTGTTTCCTTATTCGTCATTTGTATAACTTATGCAAAATGTCAAAGTGGCTGTTTCAATCTTTTGCTTTGTTTCTTTATTTGGTGTACGGGGATTGAACCTGGAGCCTTTGTACTGTGTTACCTCTATAACCCTGTTTGTATTATTTATTTTGAAACAGAGTCTCATGAAGCCACTAGGTTGCCATGCTGGGATCCAGCTTGTGATCCTCCTGGCTCTGCTTCCCAGACTGTTGGGACTATGGGTGTGCGCTCCCATGCACGTTCTCTTTGCCATTTTTAATTGGCATTTGATCTTTAATTATGACTTACCAGAGTTCTTTCTCCAAATTAGGTTCATTTCATTGTCAGATGTTTGGATTGCTAATCTTTTCTCTCAGTCTGTCCCTGAAATTTTATTTTGTGTACTGGCAAATTCAAAGACCAATTTTCAATGTTGATAAAGTCCAACGTATTGATTATTTTCTCTTACAGTTTATAGCTTTTTATCTTGTCACGGTTGCACAGTAG